CTAAGGATAAAATTTTCAGATATAAGGCAGGGGTAGAGAGTGTTTTTTTTGTGTGTTTTTTTTTTTTGTCTTTTCTTCCGGTACCAGGAATCGAACTCACGACCTTGCGCTTGCCAGGCAGGCGCTTTGCCGCTGAGCTAAATCCCCAGCCCCAAGAGTGTCTTAAGAGGTCCAATCAAGTTGAAGGACTCCCAGAGCCCACTGTGATCTCTGGGGGCCCAGGAACATCAGATTTCACCCACCTCCAAAACTGGTGCTCCAGAAGGAGGCGCTGTCTTTCCCGGTCCTATTCTCCTAGCTGTTGCCCCAGCCCTTCTCATCCCACACCCCGGGTCAACCCCCTAGCAGCCCCCCGGAATAACTGGAAACCCTTCCCAGGAAAGGTGGTTGTGGAAAACATGCCTGAATTTAAGACAGGTAATTCATTTTGGTTTGGTAAGAGTCACTTTGGGTCAAGAATGTACACTCCTAGGAGTCTGTTTACTCTCCTCTGTCTTTGTCTGACCTCCCTTAGAATGGCTGTGCATCTAAAACGGCAAGAAAAAGGCCACACGCTGAGACTTACTGCACCCCAGGAACTAAGGACTTTACACCTTGTACATTTACGGTTGAGGGGCCTTTGTGGAGGCACTCAAAATGCAGAGTCCAGCGGGAGGAGGAGAACGGGGTCTGTGAAGGGGCTGGGCCCCAGGGTAACAGAAAGTCACAGTGGAGGATACAGAGTCCCAGGTATGAAAACCCATGGCCCTGCCTCAGTGTTTCCACACCTTCCTATCCAGCACAGGGCAGGATCCAAACTCTTCTCATTCCGGGAGCCAGGGCCTCTGAGCGCTCACCTCACCACCCTCTCAACCGCTCCTCTCGCCACGGTTCCGGCCTCCAGGGTCCTCCCTGGTTCCCTGACTTCTCGGCCTCTTTAAATGTTCTAACTTCTCTGGCCTGCAAGTCCTCATCCCCTGCCCATCCCACCCCGACATCCCCGATCCCCAATCCACCTCCCTCCCAGTGGCTTCCTTGAAAGTTCCCTCCTCTGCAGCTGGCACCGCCTTCGCTGAGTAACTGGCCGGCGCCCTAGCTGCTCAGCCCCTTGACTTTGCACACAGCATATCAGCATGACCTGTCCGCTTACGGCCTCTTCGCCGAGCTCTGAGCTCAACTCTATGCCAAGCTCATCAGCAGCTCCCCAGCTAATGGCTTGGTCTCTGTATTCCACATTTTGCGTTTAAGTAAGAAGAGTTACTCAGCCCCTCTCAGCCTCAGCGATCTCATCCGTAAAATGGGAGAAAGGGAATCTATTTCATAGAATTACCGTGGATCAAAGTTGAGAATGCAGACAAAGTTCCTAGCACATTGTGACAACCGACTGATGAAGAAATAACACCAGCGATTGCTTTCATATACGTGCACGGGTGACTTTGCCTTCAGCCCTGGCAAATGTTCTCCCAGACTGTAGAGGAGAGGGGCGAGGATTAGGGGAGTGGAGGTCACGCGTTGGCAGGGGATCAGCTTTGCTTGGCGCCGGCCAGGTCTGCCTTTCACTACCGCAGTGACCACCCTTTGCTCAGTCCTGCCGGGTTGTGCAGTAGAAGAACGCGGACGTCTGGCACAGGGCACGCACCGGGCGTCTGCCAGTAACTGAGCGGATGGGTGAGGGTCAGGAGGACGGACGCGCGGGCGGGGGACGCCGAGAACTTGGAGGGTGTGTGCAGAGTTATGAGGCAGGGGTCGGAAGGAAGCCAGCAGCTTCACGACCTTTCCCATCCTTTTCTCCTACTCTTCCAGGTTCGAGCTAAAATCCCGCAGGGAGAGTCTGGAGGGAGGTGAAGGTCGAGGCTAGGGATTAAGGACGCGTCCGGCGCCGCGCGAGGGAACGCGTCGGGCTCAGGGACCCAGCGGACGCCCGCCCTCCTCCCCCTCCCGCCGGCGCG